ATGCGTCAATCTTCCCCAGCACTGCCAACCTGGCTGCAGGCTCCCTCTCTCTCTCCTCGCTGCCTGGGAGCTGCTCCCTGGCTCTGAAGCAGCCCTTTCCCCTCCAGCTGGGAGGAAATGAGCCACCTTCCAGGATCGGTGTGTGGCCAGAGGCCAGATCCTGCCCGAGGAGGGAGGGGTAGCACCTGCACCCCGGCGTGGCTCTGGAGCCCGTCCAAGAGCAGCAGCAGGTTTGCTGAGACGCCACCCTGCTGGGGAATGCACCTGCCCGGGCGAGAGGTGAGGGCTCGCAGCTTGTCCTCGCCGGTGCTGCCGCCGCACCGGGACGGGCACCGGCAGGGGCACCGCACCTGCCGCTTGGCAGGCGGCTGCAGGAAGAAAGGAGGAGATTTTTCCCCGTGGGCTCCCCCCCGGTAGCTGGATCCAGTGGAAGGAAAGCCAGGAAAAAGCGCTGCTGCCAGGCAGGAGCAGGAAAACTGTGCTGGGTTGTCGCGTGTGGGCAGCAGGTGAGTGATCGATCCCTCCTCCCCGGGAGCTGAGCCGCGCTTCGCCAGGAGCTGCCGGCAGGTTTGGGGTTTGCCTCAGACCTACTTCTTAAGAGATCCTGCCTCTTGCCTCCGCTGTGTTTCTTCCTCGCACCACTGTGTTTCCTCTCAGCAGGCAAGGCTTGGGAGTTTCGCGTCCCTCTGGGACTCCCAGGCCACCCTCGGCAGAGGTGCGTGAGGGACAGGCTCTGTCCTGTCAGGGTAATGGATACCTGTTAATGCACGGAGAGAGGAAAAGGAACACGAGACTTTATAATGGAGCATGCCAAAGCTGTCTAGATTTGTGTAAAAAGCAACTGCACACTGCCCCTGTTACAACAAGCCCTCCACCACCCTTAACCTCCGAGGCCCTAGGCCTGGAGAAAGGAAGGGACAGTCCACCATCACCCAGGGCTTCCCTGGGGCTTCCCAAAGGATGTCTCGTGGCAGGAGCACTGGTGGGACAGATGCTCACTTCTGGGAAAGAAGTATCCCCCTGGCAGGGTAGAGAGGGTGGTCTCTCCCCAGAGGTGCAGATTAACCTGCCCAACTTTGCGTGGATTTTGAGAAGCCCGGGAAAGGAGGAACGCTGGGAATTGGTGGTTGATGGAGCAGCCAAAAGAGCTCGAGTCTCTTGCTAGGATTTTGGGTGAGACAGACATGCCACATAAAGGCCCCATTACTCCCATTCTTTGCAGGTTCCTCTGTCCCCAGTGCTGAGTTCTCAGGAGAAGAAGAGAGGGAACCTTCCCACATGCTCCCCGGGGGCACAGACAGACCTTGAGCACCATGACATTCAGAGCACCTGATTTGTGCATTGTCAGTAATTCAGGCATAAAACAAGATACATGAGCTTCATTCTCTTTCAGCCTACTGGAGAGCTAGAATAGAATTGAATATGCCTAGGAAGCATTTCTTTAGTGAGAGGATGGTCAAACGCTGGAACAGCCTTCCTAGAGAGGTGGTCAATACTCCAAGCCTGTCAGTATTTAAGAGGCATTTGGGCAATGCTCTTAATAATATGCCTGAATTGGTCAGGCAATTGGATTAGATTATCATTTTAGGTCCTCTTCAACTGAAATAGAACAGAATAGACAGAATAGAGTAGACAAACTAGAATACAGCAGACAGAATAGAATATTTTGTTTTGGTTAGAAGGGATCTACAACAATTCAGGGCTGACTCTCTCGGTAAAGAAATGCTTCCTAAAGCATTGGAAGTTGGAAAAATTACATGACATTTTGGTTAAAAAAATTATGCCTGTTCTGGTCTAAAGGTTTCTGTGAGGCACAGAGGGGTGGCAAGTTCATCCCAAACAGCCAAGAAGCAAATAAGCTGTGAGGGACTGGGGAAGCAGGGGACTGAGGTGGCTTGAATTTGTTTAAGATTGTGAGGCTCTGTTAGCAGCTCTCATCTAGGTTGCTCATGTAAATCATTTTGTGTATTGTTATTTTACAGCAAATCTTGCTGACTCCTCCAGTCTCCGTGATGCTCACGAAGCCCACATAAGGCTGCATAAAACCCTTCCAAGGCTGGAAGTACAAGGAAGCACTGCAGGAGCCTGTCCCATCTCCAGACTTCCTCTCCTGAATCCTGTGGGTAAGGAATGCCTCAAAGGGGTACCCCTGGGTTCAGGGAGAGGAGGGAAGTGGGGAGTACAAACTGTGACTCTGAAATTAAAGTGTTAGTTAACATACAGTGCATGGCTTGTCTATCAGATATCAGGCAGCCAGACATAAAAAGTTCATAAGTAAATAAACACATGCATATATCATTCTAGGCATTCAGCCAGTGTGCATCTTCCACACCTGCAGCCAGGAGTGGCCAGGAAACTGTCGATGATGACCCTCAGTTTCCAGTTAAATGTTGTCAGAGTGGGGGGAAAAAAAAAAAAAACAAAAACCAACCATAATGAAGAAGGAAAAACATGAACATTTTTGTTTTCCTACATTCCCAGTGTTTTCATGTTTTTCCTCTCCACCTGCCAACCAGCAGTGGGGAAGGAAAGAGTGTCAATTTTTTTCCTGAAATGTGCCCTTTGGACATAAAGCACAGTGTGGCTGGTCCTCTCCTCTTTTTTGTCTTGCATACAGGGACGGAAGCACTGAAGGTTCTGGGTTCAGTAGTGTGATTGTAAGAGTAAAAATACTGTTATTAGCAGCACAAACCCTCACAGTCTAGAGAAGCCCAAGCAAGAGTGGATTCTTGCAGAATAAAGATTATACATTTTCAAACTGACAGAAGGAAACATGAAACCACACTGCAGTGGAAGCCTTTGCCTCTCCAAATCAGTTGTTTAATAGGGGTTAATGTAACACTGGGAAACTCTCCAAATCATTTGTTTAATAGAGGTTAATATAACACTGGAAAATACATGCTCGTAGAGGTGACACCTTATTTTTTTTTTCCTCAGCCAGATGTTCCTACACTTTTATCTTGCTCCCTGTCCTCCTTCAGAGCAAATAAAAAACTCAAATGGTTAACTTTTAGAAAGTAACACAGGAATGCAGTGCTGTAGCTTGATTTTTGGTCACATTTTCCCTCATTGTGGTTTGTGCTGTTGTGGTTTTTTTTTGTTTACTGTTTGACTCACAACTTGTGTGCACAACTTGGGTCAAGCAGCAGAAGGACACAGACTTTGCACTTCTCCAAGCTTTATGATTTCCTAGTCCAAAATCTCAATCTAATCTACAAACTTGCTATCTACCAGACTCACCCAAATGATGCTGAGGAGGAGATAAGGCACCTCTGTGCTTGGAGGAGGAGAGGCAGGAGGAAGCAGTGTTTAGCACCAGGCTGATTTGCATGGGCTGGGAAACAACTCCAGACTCAACATCTTCCCACTCCTCTGCTTTGAAAGTGCCCCGTGACATCCTCACCTTCTCAGGGACCTGTGTCCTGGGCACATGTGGACAGCACAGGGTACCTGCTGTCTCATGCAAACTCGGAGTCCCAGCAGGCACAGATCAGCCTGCTCAGCCACAGCGCTTTTCCCTCTCTAACTGATGCTTTCTGATTGTTCTGGCTCTACCCAGGAGCTGGAGATCTCTCACAGGCCTCCCAGCAAGCAGAGCCTGGGTTCCTGTGCCCCCAGCCCACTCCCTGGCCAGGCAATCCAAGCAGCAGGAGCCATGCAGGGAACAACCCCGTGTGCAGCTCACGGGGCGCGATGGGTGCCGCGGTGGTTACAGACTTCCTGGACACGTGCTGTCTCTGGCAGAGCGCCCTGAGCCACGTCCAAAGTGACCTCATGCTCCATCACAGCCGGGGAGTGACTCAGGAGGAGCTTGGCCTGACACTGTCAGGCGGTGTCTGGTTCGGGCACCCCCCACACTATTGTCCTCCCTCTGCCCCCACCCCGTGTTGGCCGGGCCCCAAGGGAAGGGGGTTTTTGAGGTGTTTGCTGGCAGCAAAGACAATGCCATGAGGGGCTGTGGTTTGTGGAGGCTATGTGGGGACAGGGAGAGCGATGGGAGGACAGATCCCTGGTGTGTGCAGAGCTGCCATGCGTGGAGGTCACAAATTGTCCCTGCCCGTGTGTAACGAGCCCCGAGTCCCAGCGCCACACAGGGCAGGGCACGAAGACAAACAGAGTGTGCTTGGCACGGGCTGAAGGGCTCCTGAGAGCCGTTTCCAGCAGGCAGGGTGCTGAGTGGCCGTCCCTCCACCCGGGAGAAGTGACACAGCTCTGACACGAGGGACCCGCGTCAGTTCCTGTCCCTGCCACGGGCTCCTGCAGGGCTCAGAGCAGTTTGTGTGTGTGTGTGTGCCTGTGATGGTCAAGGGGGAATCAGCCCGTTGGGGAGGTGGCCACAGAGGCAGTTCTTGGGTCTCCAGGGTCTGCCCCATAACTTCAGGGCACACCTGAGATGCTCCCATCCTTGACCTCCCCAGCACCTCTCCTTGATTTGGGTACGAGCTGTTCTAGAGGGTCCCTGTGGTGCTGTGGGACCAGCTGGGGCACTGACGCGCCAGGGAGGCACATTATGTGAGAGAAATGCAAGTTTTTTCCACTCCTGGTGTAACACTGTACCCAGAGAAGCAGCAAGGAGAACCAGGACACTGGGGACGTGAGCCTGGGAAGCCAGAGAAAGGTGCTGTGCCGAGGGGAGCCCAGCTAAGCACAGCACCTCGGAGCCTCCCTCCACCCTGCAACCACCACCACCCTTCCCCTGCTCCCCTCCTGCGGAGAAGTGTTTCATGGACCAGCAGAGAGGAGAGCAAAATCTCGGGGTGCCTGTTCCCAGCTGTCAGACAGCTCTTTCCAGGGCAGTGCTGAGGCCACTGGAGATGTAACCACTGCATTTCTGTAAGGAACTTGTGAGGGGAAACCACCGGCAGTACAGGGGTAGGGACAAGGCTGAGAACGTGCAGCAAGGGCAACTTTCGCTCTTCCAGCGCCTGGAATGGAAGGGTTAAACCCTGGTCCTGACCCCCATCTCCTGCTGTCCTTCTGGGCAGCAGAGCCAGTTGGTGACAAGAGGCTGATGCTGATGAGGGAGCATGTGAAGCCAGAGCTGTGAATGGGGCTTTATCCCAGGAGGGACCTGCCTCTGCTCTGTCCCTGCCCTGCTGCCAGCACCAGCTGCAGGCAGAGTCCTGTGGGCAGCAGTGTGCCAGTAGCCTCTGAGCGGGGCTGGGGAGGCAGGAGACTCGTCCTTGGGCCAGGCTGAGGTTCCCCTGAAGTGCGTGGAGGTCTCCTGGGAAGACGTGTGTGGATGATCTGTTCTCCAGCGCACAGGGCTTTTGTGAGGGAGGCAGAGTGAGGTCTGCAGGCCAGCCTGGAGCAGCCAAGGCCCAGGGTTCAGCAGGGGATTGACTGATTGATTAATTACTGATTGATTGATTGACTGGTGCAGGGGGGCAGGGTCTCTGTTTAATGAAATCTTCTCTTCTTGACTCTTCCAGATGAAAGGCACAGGAAAGGAAGGACACAGCCCCGGTTACTCCCTTATGGTGCTGCTCCAGCATGTTCCACAGCCGTGCCTGGGTGGTGGGCTCAATCTCAGCACGTGGACCATAGCTCTTCGGGTGGCACCACTGCAGAAGGCAGCTCCATGAGGATCCAAAGAATGAGGCAGAGACATTGCTGCTGGGGAAATGCAGCTGCCTTCGCCACCGCTGCTGCCTTGACCCTCCACTTCGCCGTAAGGGTGTAGATCCATCTGTGCAACCACCCCCCTGTGCCCTCCTCACCCAGCTGCCCACCATGCCAGAGCTGGCAGAGCTGAGCAGCCCCCGCACCCCTGCAGACGCAGACCACATCCAGAGGAACATCTTGGAGGAGCATGTGGAGCTCTGGTGGTTCCAGGACCCCAAGAAGTCCATCCTGTGCTATGGGATGGCTGTGGTGCTGATCCTGGCCTGTGGGATTGGGGGCATCATCCTGCTGTACAGCACCAGCAGCCGGTCCGGAGAGTGGCGGCTGGCCGTGGGCACCACGCTCTGCCTCCTGGCCCTGCTGGTGCTGCTGAAGCAGCTGCTGAGCTCTGCGATCCAGGACATGAACTGCATCCGCAGCCGGGATCAGATCGAGCTCCTCAAGAGCGGGGGCTTCTCGGACTGCCTGGTGCTGCTGCTCAGCTCCCTGGTGCTGCTGGTCTGCGGGCTGGTGCTCACCGTCCTCTCCACCACCACCACCATGCAGCTCAGCCCCGCGCGGCCGCTGGCCAGCATGTTCACCAGCGGGGTGGTCCTGCTGACTGCTGGCAGCGCCATCCTGCTCTGCCTGCTGCTCTACCTGCTCTGCACCTCCTGCCGCCGGGCCGCCCCTCGGAGCCTGGAGGCGGGCGAGATCCGCGTCTTCACCATCTCCGGCCGCCTCGCCGGGAACAGGCGGCTTCCTCCCACCTCCAGCATGGCCAACCTGATCTGAGCCGGGACACTTGAGCCAGGACCCGTCAGTGCTGGCCTTTCCCGAAGGAAGGGCGGGAGCTGCGATGTGCCTTGTGCTTCTGGCCGGGGATTTGCTGGCATTCGCTGTGCTGATGGCACAGCAGAGACTCGGGGTGCCTGGACGGGCTCTGGGACCTGGTGTGTTGGGACTGCAGTGCTGGCCTGGTTGGTGTTTTATCTCCTCAAACCTCCTGTGACAGCTGCTCCTGACCTGTGTCACAGAGCGAAGGTGAGCCTGTCCTGTACCCCTGGGGACCCCAGTGCTTGCTTGGTTCCTGCAGGTCCTGGAGCTGCCACGCGCTCTCCTGGCAGGAGAGGCTGTGATTGTGGGTGGCATAAAACCACCCTGTGCTCTGTGCAGGGCCGCCAGCTCCTGAGCAAAGTAGAGCCTCTAGCAGCTGGTGAATGGCAGGGAATACTCTGTGTCAGCAAGCATGAGGCACAGGCAAAGGGAGCCTGGTGGGAGGTATGGCTGCAGGGCCTGCTCCCAAGAAAGCACCTGTGTGTCTGTGGGAGTGAGTGTGGGATTTGCATGGGATTCTTCGTGCCAGAGCCACAGCATGGCTGGACCTCACATGAAATTCTGTTTGTGTTTGCAATGCCAGGATCTGTTCCAGCCTTACATTCCTGCAGCCCACCATCACCTGTGGTTTATCAGAGGGGTGATCAAGGGTTGTCAGGGCCCTGACAGGTTATCCATGCTGGACTGTGAGTTGGGGCTCTGTTATCACACCAGCATCAGCCACATGAGCCACAGACAGCAAGGTGCAGCGGCTGGGGGATGGTGATGGAATGCCTGAATCCCGGGGCTGGGGCTCTCTGCAAGTGGTGTGAGGGGGGAGTGCTGTGCCCTCCCACTGCAGTTTCCCAAGCAGAGGCACCTCTGCTGCCAGGAGCCCTGCAGCTCATCCCAGTCCCTGCCTGTTTCTATGCTGTTTCTGTCTACCAAGTGCTGCAGCTCCTGCAGGGCAAAAAAGTTTTTCTGCTGCCACTTGGGCCTTACCTGGGGCTTTTTTGGTGTTTTATCTCTATGAAGTGTCCATCTCCAAGGTGTCCTTCCCAGAGGCAGACTAACAATTCACCCCGGGAGCTCTTCCTGTGACTTGAGACTAATTTACCTATCAAAATTCTCATTTCCTTCAGAGACCCACTAACCCATTTCCTGCTCTTTCCATTGACATAGATCTTAACCTCCTAGCAAAGCTGTTCCTGCACAACCTTCTCTTTCATCTTCCTGTCTGCTCCCTTCTCCCCCTCATCTGAGATGCCCTGCCCCAGATGTCTGTTTTGCTCATTATTTGCCAAGTTTCCTCCGCAATGGCACAAGACTGAGCTATTATTTTTAAGTGCCTGGTAGAAAATTCATTTGGAAGAGGATGGTAGCTCATTCCCCTACTAAAAGCACAAGTCACTGTTGTCTCCACACCTGGAGGCAGTGTCAGAGTTCACCACCAGTGAGCCCCACAAGGTATATGCTGGGCAATGAAGGCTTCATCCTTTCACAGCTCCAGACCCCACTGTCCCTGGTGTAGTGAGATCACATGAGGGCACATCTGTATTCATCTGCTCTTGCCCTGTTCTGACTGGCTTTCCTTCCCCTGAAGCCTTGGATTGTTTCCCCCGAAGTATGGGCACATCATTTGGGCTTTCCTTTCTGTATATCTGTTATTCCTACATTTTCCTCTGCCACTTTCACTTCATCTTTTGGGTTTTATTAAACTGCTGTTTCCTCTTCTCTCTGCATCTCCTCCCTTAATCTGCCCAAGAGCTCAGAGGGTATTGCTGAGATCAGATTTTTCTGTGCTAAACCTCTTCAAAGCAAAGAGCTTCCCCTCTGGGCTGTTTGGCCCCAGGTCCAGCAGGGACCACTGTGCCTGCGCAGGGAGGGACAGGCCAGAGCTGCTCTGAGTTCTGCACCATCACCGCTGCTGGTGCTCTGCACGTCTGTGTCAGTGCCTGTGCAGTTGTGCCAGGCTGCACCCCCTCTGGCTGCATCAGCGCTCCAGCAGTTACTCCCCACTCCCCCAACCCGCACGTGTGGGCAGGCCACAGCTGCCTCTGCCCCAGCTGTTTTGCACATCTGGGCATTTCTGTGAAGACGCGTGACTGTGCCCAGCTCGCAGCTCCGCGCTGCCTAAATGCCACTGTGAGTCCTCCTCCCCTCCACAGCATGTCACTGTGAACCCTCCTCCCCTCCACAGCCCCTTCAGAATGTGCCCCACGTGCCTGTGAATTGTGCCAGACAAGGGTGATCATGGGCCACATCAGCAACCCAAGGAGAGAATGGCTGAGAACAGGCTGTGCCTGAAGATGATGGTTTGGGTGTCCGGTGCCCAGAGGGACAGCCTGCGCTGCCCCAGTCCCTGACTCACCTCTGCAGCAGGGGTACTGGTTTGTGTCTTCCTGAGTTCCTGTGTTGTGTGTGGAAATACATAATAAAGTGTTGGAGAAGCCGACTGTGTTGAAGGCTGATGCTTGAGTGCTGGCCTCTCTGCAGAGCAGGAGGTGGCAGGGCTTTGCAGGGCTGGCCTCTGCTCAGGCTGAGCCCAGGGCAGAAACCATGACAGCCCAGGGTCCCTCCTGTGCCACCACAGCCCCAAAACCTTATTTCCTGATACATGACCCCTACCTCCAACTGCAGGTCCCTCTCCCTCTGCTGAAGGACCCAGGTGTAGCCAGATCCCCTCTGTGAACCTGTGACCTCACCGTGACCCTTCAAAGGTGCTCCCATGGAGCACACAAATCTTTCCTGAATGTGTAAGTGCTGGCTGGTTTGTTTACAGAGAAGCTTTTACCCTGTGGCAGGGCTGAGCCTTGTGGCAGCAGCTGCTCCCTGCAAGGAGCCTGGAACCAGTCTGCCTGCATACCTGCTCCCTGTCCCATCCCCAGCCTCAGCCGCAGCAGCTTCCTGGGCGGACCCCCTCGAGAAGGATCCTCTTTTTCTGCTCTGACCCCTTGTATTCCCAGCTCTGCAGGCCAGCTGTATTTCCCTCCCTGTGAGCTGCCCCACTTGCACTGGAGCTGCCTGGAGAGAAGGCATTAAAAACCACACGTGAAAACCAGACATGTTAAGCTTGGTTAAAAAATAAGTGGGTGGGACTTCTAGCAGGGTTCAAGTAGACAAGCAACCCACCACTAGGTACTGAGGGACAGGAGTTAAGTGAGATCCTGGATAAATAAGCCTGGGCTCTTGCAGATTTAGTCTCTTTTAAGACGCCACTGAGACTAAAAAGAAAATAACGCATCTAGCGTGAGTTCATGTGATTGAAAAGCATGTTAAAAAGCCCAGAAAATACCCTCTGAAACATAACTGAAATGCATTTTCCCAGCCCTCAGATTTAAGTCTCCTATCTTACCAGAAAGATAACAAAAATTCCCCAAAATTACAGTATATAGTGTATTTTCATGGGTAGTTCATGAGCCCGGAAGACAAACCACGAGAAAAAAAGTAAAGCTCAGTTTAGAAATACGGCGTTAAAGAGCAAAAACTGGCTGACCACTGAAAGGAAGCCAGCAAGTTTTCCTCCTCCTCATGGCTTCAAATGTCACATCTGCTGTCTGGGTTGTATTGCCCATCCAGTGCCTGACCCATTTGTCCTCTTTGGTTCACACTCTCCGAGGTGTATTATTTACCTTTGTATACACTATGCTCTGTAAATGTCTTAATGAGTGGAGAAACAGAAAGTTAATAGTGAAACAGAGACCTGAAGGAGGCGGGGAATTGCCTGTGTGGCAGGGCTGCAAGAAATGCTGTCCCCCTGCGTTGATACTTCCTGCTCTGGAGCATGAGGAAGAGATTCCCGAGCTATCAGGCACGGTAACGACTGGGCTGTGCCCTGGGAAATCTTCCCGGCCGGATGGTACCAGCCTTATGAATCACTTACCAAGGAGGGTGAAATGTTGCTGCTGCTCCCTGCTTTTTAACTCCAGCGTAACCAATGCAGGCACAACCGACTACAGCAGACACAACTTGCAGTTACCTGCGTCTCATGTGCTGTTTATCGTACCACAAAGATGACAGGAATGCAAAAAATTACCATGTTCCTGTAACTCCACGGTTTGGGATGCACACAGGACTCTAATGGGAGCCAGGGGACGGGGTCGTCTCGCCCCAGCACTCGTGGCCGCCTGACGCTGCAGCTGGCACCACTGAAAAATTTGCTCGTGGCAGGGGGAAGGTAAGTGTCTTTCAGCGTGTTTTGCTGGAGAGGGAAGAGAGAAAAGGAAGAAGGGCTACGGTGGGAATCACGGACTCACAGAAACATTTAGGTTGGAAAAGACCTCTGAGGTCATCCTGTCTGACGCTGGGAAGCAACGCTGGAGAGAAGTGCACAGAAACACTGTGGCGATGTCCCAGGGCTGCCTGCACCACAGCAGGTGACAGATCGGTCTGCACAAGAGCACTCGTGCCACCGGCCTGTTCTCTCACTGCCGCAATTAACGAGGAGTGTATTTATGGTCCTTGAAAGCACGTGCAAAAAAAGCCACACCCCAGCTGTGGGGCTGAGGGGGTCTCCTCCCAGCACTGCCACAGGGAGAGTCTCAACAAACCATTGCAGGCAGAGGCAGGGCTAAATCATGCTTTAATCACACCCCAGAGTGACAACGCATTGAGGGACAGAGCAGGGCTGGGTCTGGTGCAGTGGGGTCAGTGCCCAAGGCCCCGCAGACAGCACCAGGGCAGGCTCCTCTTCCCACTGCACCAGGCTTCCTGGGCACAGTGGGCGCCACCTCCTTCATCCTCAGCATCCCAGCAAGGCTGGGAAAGCAGCAGCAGGTTTGGTGTCCCTGTGACAGTGCAGCCTGTCAGTGTCGTGCTGGGGCACTGCAGGGCTGGCTGCCTTCAGCCTCCAGCACCATTCCCTGCCCATCCCTCTCTCCCCTCCTCTCTGCTCCTTTCCTCCTGCCCCCAAACATGCGGGGTCAACAGCCAAGGGGATGGAGCTACAAGGGGATGGAGATGACAAGAGGCTGCAGCGGCGGTGGCTGAGTTGTGAGCTCAGATGGAGAGACGCAAGTCTCGCTCCTGTTTGTCCGGCAGCTGCTCGCTGGGCTGGATGTAGTTGTCCTCGATGAAGCCATCATCATCCTCAGCTTGCAGGTCAGCTTGCATGGACTGGCTGCCGCAGGAGCCCCTGTCCCAGACACTGCAGTCCTCCATGGGGCTGCCTCCGATGGAGCTGATCTCAGGCAGCGGTCGGTGGCGGTAGCTGGCGAAGTTCTTGTGGACGAGCTTGCACTTGGCAGCCACTGCGATCAGGATGGAGACGCCCACTGCTGTCACCAGGAACGCCACCAGGTAAGGCCAGCTCCTTCCCCCCTTCACGGTGGCAGGCAGTGTGGTGTTGGTGGCTGTGGCACGGGAAAGGCACACGGTCAGCCTGTGGCACACCCAGTGCTCCCCACCTGCCAGCCCTGTGCCCGTCTGCAGGGCGCAGCCAGCGCGGGATTGCCTTCCTCAGGAGCAATATAAATGCTCTTCACCGAGGGTGTGTGAGCACTGAGGGCAAAGTTGCTGACAGCTGTCTGACACTGGTGCCCAGCCCTGTGAAGTCTGTGCTCCACGTGGCTTTGGGGCACCTGCTAACTTTTCTGTCACAAAGCCAGCAAGCACCTCCAAGGGGGTGACCGCCCTCCCCACCAAACCACTGCACATCTGCACTGCGTCTCCACCCGCGGTCCCTCCGGTATGACAGGGGGCAGGAGGGAGCTCGACCTTACAGACACCTCTGAATCTGCACAACTTACTGTTGCTCTGGGTCACCGTGGTCTGCTGTGCCGTGCTGAGCGCGCGAGGGAACCGGTGCTTCGTTCGGCAGCCCAGGGCCTGGGAATCCAGAGCTGCGATCTCCTGGCCCCGCAGCCCCGGGGGCGACACGCAGGTCACCTGCACGGCTGGGGGACAAGAGGGCTAAGGTGAGACAGGGGGCTTCACCCATCCCCTCCCAGCTGGGAGAAGACGATCCCTGCTTGCTCCCGGGTGGATGGGACACATTGCAAAGTGCTCCTGGCTCTGCCCTCCAGCCTCACCAGCCCTCAGCCTATTGTAAGGCACAACCAAAGGAAAAATTCCCTGACCGAGGAACTGTGCAAGTGTGTGGCTGTGATTAGAAAGCTCCTCTTAACTGACTAATGCCAAAATCATGGATGCTGATAGGAACTGCATTGCTTTTCCCTGGGAGCTGAGCTCAGATGATTGGAGTCTGATCTGCCTCCACAGGAAGAGCTGCCAAGCCCTCTGCAGCTCTTGAAAATGCAGTCACTCCACAAAGTTACATAAAGATGGATTTAGGGGCTGAAGTGTACATGCAGCCCCTTTCCTGGAAGAGTGGCTAAATTATCCTGCTAGGTCTCTGAAGAGCCATCTCAGAGCCTGCCCAGGGGTTGGAGTAAAAGAATCAAGCAGGACTCCTAACCCAGGGTTCCTCCTGCCCGACACCTCTCCTGCCACCTGCCCCATCCACTCACCTTTCCTGCGCTGCAGCCACTGCTGCAGGGGCTGCACGGTGCAGTCACAGACCCAGGGGTTCCCTTCCAGACGGACCTGCGGGACCGTCTCCATCAGCTGCAGGCTCCAAGTGTCCACGGAGACCAGCTCATTGTGCTGCAGGCCCAGGTGGAAAAGAGCCTTCAGTGGCAGCAGGAAAGGGACATCAAGCTCCTGCAATCTGTTGTTTCTTAGGAGCAGTGTGTGCAAGTTTCCCAGGCCCTGGAAAGTGTCCGTGTGGAGGGAGGTGATGCCGCAGCTGCTCAGGTCCAGCAGACACAGCGCCCCGAGGTTGGAGAAGATTGCTGGGCTCAGAGATGGCATGGCATTGCTAGAGAGGTTGAGAGAGCGCAGGGAAGGGAAATGCATCAGGAGAGTCCTGTCACGGGGCACGACCAAGGAGTTGGAGGAGAGGTCCAAACTGGTGATGTTTCTTGGAAGGGAACTTGGAGCATGCTGAAGGTTCTTCCCATTGCAGTCGGCCCGTCCCTGGGAAAAGAACTGATGTCTGAGATGGGCTGCCCTTGCTGGGGAGTATCTCTAGAGTGAGACTCCCCAGAAGTTCAAATTAATTACCCTTGCAGAGTTCATAAGAAGCAAAGACACAAAAAATTTAAAAAAACACATGGGCTGCCCATGTGGGCCTGGATAAACAGAGAAAGATGAGCAGGACTGCCCAGGACTGAAGGAGTAAAGGAGGAGCATGCAGGACTGGGAGGAAAACCCAAACAGACGAGACGGGTGCAAAGGCACCAGGTTGTCACCCTCCTGTCCTTCCTTACTGGGCAGTTGTCATACAGGGTCAGCTTGCAGAGGGCTTTCCTCTTCCTCCCCCGGATCCCCACCTCCAGCCCCCTGGGGAGCTCTTCTGTGACACAAGGGCATCCTCCCAGCTGGGGCAGGGGAGCAGGTGAGCCCTGCCTGTTGCAAGGGCAGGCAGGCAGCTGGCTGGGCTGCAGAGCTGTGGGCACCTGCACCGAGCACCCATGGCTCAGAAAGGCTTTGTCAGCCCTGCTGTGCTCTGGTGAACAGCCTGGACAACGTGTTCAGCCCGAGGCTGGGAGCAGGACAGCCAGGCTGTAGGTGTGGGTGAACCCCCGCTGTAGCTGGTGGCCGCTGGCACAGCACATCTCCCAGTTAACTCCACTGGCTCCCATGGGTTTTCAGTGTTCATCTTCTCTTGAGCTGTGCAGACCAGGAGCTGCCTGCCAGGCCCTGCTGCCCCGTGGGCACCCCAGCTGTGCTGGCAGGACCAGGAGCAGAGTGCCCCTGCCCACCCCCATCTGCTGCCCGTGCCAGAGCCCCCTCCGCCCTCCTACCTGGTGGTCAAGGCTGCAGGGGTGTCCTGTCACCACTGCCCAGGCACAGAGGAGGCTGCAGACCCCGAGCAGGCAGGCAGGAGCCATTTGGCTCCGGGAAACTTCCGGGCAGAAAAACAAGTTTCAGGGAAAGCTGGGAAGCCGGCAGAGCCGGCTGTGCTGGGCGAGGTGTGGCCACGCACGGCCCAGGGCCCCCACCGAGCCCCTGCACCCCAGCAGCACAGCCCTGCAGACCACCAGAGCCTGGGAGCCAGCCTGGCTGCTGTCCTGGCCCCGCTCCCTCCCGAGCTGGGCACGGGTGAAAGGTGGCAGTGCCAGTTACACATTAACCACCGCGCCCCGCCACCTCCCACCCCTGTGGCCTCCTGTGATCGGTGACCAGGGGACCGCCAGCATCTGCCTGGTGGACCATGGGGTGCAGTGGGGACTGCCTGGGTGGGAGCAGGACACTGGGAGGTGCTGGGGGGCCAAAGGAAGGGGAGGAAGCACCTCTGTAGCATCTGCCCTGGGATGCCACGCTCAAGGAGAGCAGCCTGAGCCTGGCCCACGTGCTGTGTCCTGGCTCCACACACCCAGGGCAGGAGCACACAGCCAGCCTCAGACAGAGAAGCTGGTGCTGAGGCAGCAGGAAAGTGTCCTACAGGAAAATAAAAGTCTTACTGAGATTCGGGCAGAAAGGTGTTTAAAACATTCAGCAAACTGGCACGCCTCTGGGCCCGGCAGCAGCTCAGTGAGCAGCACCTGGCTGTGAAGGTCCCAGAGGATGGGAGTGCCCCACCACCTCCAGCACCCCCCTTGCAGACCTGCCATGGAGTCAGTGAAAGTCTGGGAAATCCTGTTGAAGCAGCATCTCGTGGGTGTTGGTTGGTGCAAGGCTGGGGGAGAGACCTGCTCCCGTGCCTACGGGTGCTGGGGCAGGAGAACAGGCGAGGGCTGGCAGAGCCACAGCCCAGGCAAGGGAAGTGCTGGCAGCACCTGCTCCAGGCTTTGCCTCTGAAGAGGGGGCCCCAAGCTCTCTTCCCTGCTCCCTGTTCCCTGGTCCCACTCCTGCTCAGTGATAGGAAGCAGCCTGCCAACAGGAGCACTGCTGAGTCGCAGTTTCCACCCATCGGCGACTGGGACAGGGCAGCCCCTCTTCCCCCAGCTGATAGAGTGCTCCTCCACAGCCCCATGTCCCACCCTTTCCTCAGGGAGAGGGCTTCCCAGCAGCCTGTCCTTCATCCTGTAGCCAGCCATGTGCTGGAAGCCAGCACAGCCAGACAGCTCCTGCTTCCCAATTGCCCTGCCAATGCCACCAGCTGGGCTGGGGATGCTCGGCCACTCCGCTCCTGGGATGCTCCCACACCTGGTGGTAGCAGCCCTTAGTCCAGCTTGTGGGGCCTCCCCAGGACCTGCTGTGCCTGCAAAACAAAACAAGCATCCAGAGAAGCGGGGCTAGAAAATGTTGCTGGGGCAGCCCAGTCCCTCAGTGGATTTGCAGGGCGTTTGCATTTCCCATCAGGAAACGGATCGGTGCGTTATGGTTTCTGGCATGCGGTGCCGCGCATTAGAATGTGCAAATGATAACAAAAAGGAGTATTTTTATCAGTCTTTGGGTGTTTGTTTTTTTTTTTTTAAGTCCGTCGTGATTCAGCAGAAAAAGTTGAGGTCTGTAAATTTAGCAGAAATTCAGGTGCTTTCAGCATGCTGTGGGTTGGGCAATTAGAGCTTTCCACGTTACAGGCGAGCACATGTGGGGAGCTGCTCTGGCTGTGCTCACCCCTACCTATCTCCCAGGTTCCTCCTGTGGAGGTTAATACACTTAAACTGGAGCTGTAGGGTCCTGGTTGAGTGTCCCCACAAAACTCCCCAGAGAGGCTTCCCAGCCTACCTCCAACCCAAGGGATCTGCACAGTTAGACAGCACAGCTCTTAACCAGGTGCTCCTAGAAAAAAACACAAGTGGACAAATCAGCTTGGGCCAGATCCCTCAGTGGATCCCTGAGATCCCCTGGGCATCACCTGGTGCAGAGAGTGATCCCAGATGGCTGCCATTCCCCAAAAAGGCAAAGCACTGCACCAGCTCCCCTCAGGCAGTCGGAGGGGCCCTGCTGTGCTCCCTGGAGGAGCACACTGCAGATCCTGTGGTTGCAAAGCCACACGAAGTGGCACGATGGTACTTGTGGCTCTGAGCGTGACTGGCCTCTACAGCCAGTAAACAAGGGGAAGAAACCATTTACTTGTCTATTCCTGCATATATTCTCTTTACTGAGTGTGCAGATGAGTCCCAATGCACTTGCAAACGAGCTTGGGGTTAATCAGGAAAATGGGGATTTGGGGTTCCCCAGGAGGGCACTGACAGCAAGAGGGACCACCCTGAGCTGTCCACCCTCTGCACATCTTGCTGTGGGATGGCCTTGTGCTCTTGCATTTACCTCTTGGTTGTGCCTCAAGTGCCCAGGGGGTCTCCTAAACACAGTCCCTTGCCCATGCATAGCCCATGACAAAGCACAATGCTTTGTTTTCCAGGCAAATGGGGGCAGCTGCACCTGGTGTCCATCTTTTTCTGATCCTCTCCATCCCTCCTGCTGCGGGGTGGCTGCACTGGGGGAGCCCCTGCCCACCGCCATCCCTCCCTCAGCATGCCATGGGCACTGCGTGGCCCCGGAGCACTCTGTAAATAGTCGGAAGCGATGAATGGATTTCCCTTTCCTCTCCATGTGTGCTTTAGATTTTTTTTTGGCCGGATACAGCACGGGCTCAGGACACACCAAAACATGAGGCTCGTTCCCTGGCAGCCCTGGTTTTCATATGGGAACAGTTCAGTTTGTGAAGCAGGGCCGGGTTTGGTGGGTGAAGCTTACGGTGATTTCCCCCGGGGGATGCTTTTTGTTTGCCAGGCAAAGAGCCCGGACCCCACCGGTGGCTGGCACAGCCTGACTGGAAGGCCGGGAGTGAGTCCCTCTGGGGCTGTGGGGGCAGCGGGGTCATGCCGTGCCGTGCCCACACCAGCACCGTGCACGGGAAAGCGCTGAGGGAAAACCAGGTTCCCGCCGCTTTCCACCTCCTCACGGACACGTTCACAGCAACACGGAGGGTTTTCTGCCCGGGCAGCGGCACTGTGGGCTGGATGGCTTTTTTGCTGCCTTGCCTGTGCTCCCACTCAGCCCCTTTCAGCCCGGGCGGCGTTGCCATGATGGGCCACTGCAGGAGCGAGTCTGGCCAGGCACACGGAGCCCAGGTGTGGCCGTGCCTCGGCAGCTGGCCCGTGGCGGCGGGAGGCTGAGGCGTCCCGAGGTGTGCGCGGCCTCAGCTCCGCCGCACGCCGCTCCCCGGGGGGACAGCCTTGCAGGGCAGCCCCCGCCGGCTCCTGGAGTCAGGGCCTTCTCCAAACAATGGGTGGAGAGCAGGAAACGCCGCATGGGAAACAGGATTTGGCTCCGCCGCCGCCACCAGCCACGGCCCCTTGGCCCCTTTCCTTTCCCTGCTCCAGAGAGCCCTTCCCACAGCCAGCGGCCACGGGGCTGCACCGAGGGGATGGGGACGCTGCCGCCCAGGCGGGCTGGGGCGTGAGGCACCTCCTGCCCGGGCTGGGGGTTCAGCATGGCTCAGAGAACGTTGAGCATGCAGCCCTAGCCCTGGAGGAGCGGGTGTCTGGCCGCTGAGCAAGCAGGAACGGAGGCATCTCTCTCTCCGTGCCCAGGCTATGCACCAGAGAAGGTGGTCCCAGCTGCCCTGGAGGTCAAGCAGCAGCGTGGAGGCAAGATGGGGGGCACGGGCTGGGGGCAGGGGTCCTGAGGTGCTGCTTACTTGGAGCCCCTAGGCAGCCACGGCCTCCAGCTCTGACCCCCCGTGGCTGGGACATGCTGGGGATTTTCTGACCTCCGCCCGATTCAGAACACACTCCAAGGATATGGGACTCCAGATTTATCTTCTGCTTCTCCTTCCACGCCTGGCAGGTAAATCGCGCCTTTCCCTCTGCCCCAGTGAGCAGCCCTGGCCACAGGGAGGCTTGGTGGGATGAGGCAGCTGTGGGAGCTCAGTGGCGCCATCAGAGCGGGGTTTGGAGGGAAGAAATACCCCTTTGTGATCAGCCATTTGGAGACCTGAGAGGCCAGCGATGCCCTCCCTTCCCTGCCTCTCCCCAGCATGGGAGGACAGGCACCCCAAGACACCGCAAGCTCGGCTCACAGTGAGGAGCTGAGCCAGTCGGGATCTCCGAAAGGAGAGTGGAAATTCCCACTGTGCCGTCCCAATGGGTCTGCAACGCACCTTGCTGTGCCTCCTGGGCTGGGGGTGGCAAAAATGTCCTGGAAAGGGGGTGACATGTGGGTGACGGGAACTGGTCCGGAGGCAGGGCTGGGATGGCCGTGCCCTCGACCAGTTGTGATGTGCCCTCGTACTCCCCCACCCCAGGGGCCATCCTGGACATCACCCTGATCGCCAACGTGCAGAGCCTGTCCCACTCCGACTTCTTCCTCTCCTGCGTCACGGGGGAGAGCGACGTGAGCTACCTGCAGATCGAGCGGGAGAACAAGATCGTGATGACCCACCCCAAAACGGGCTTCCAAAACTACCGCAACCGCAGCAACCAAGTGCAGGCCAGGGGCTTCTCCATGACCGATCTGGTGGGGATCTTCTACTGCCTGGGCCGCACCCCGACCGAGCAGGCACAGGTGGTCTACGTGCACAACAGCCACATTGGTGAGTGGCCGGGGGCACGCCCTGGCTGCCGGAGGGAGCTCCCTGCATGGCAGAGCTCTGCAATCCCAGTGCCAGCTGGTGGGGTGGGGGGGACAGTGGTGACGTTTGGGATCCATCAGCACGGGTGTGGTGGAGATGGGAGCGGTGTTAGGTGGAGGAGAGTGAGCAAGCCCCACGGAGGAACCTTCTGGATTCGTCATGGTGCCTGGGAGCGGGGGCAAGGTCCAAAAGGAGGCTCTTGGGTGCCCTTGGAGGAGGTTGTGGGGTCTGGAAATCATTAACCAGAGCGGGGGGCAGCCCTTCTGAGCTGTGCCAGCCCGTGTCTCCACCGCAGGCTCACAGGGAGGGGTAATTGCCCAGGGCGTATCTTCGGCAGCCTCTCAGGAGCTCGACAAACACCATCCAGCTGCAGCACAGCACTGCTCCAGCAGTGGGCCTTGCTGAGAGGCATTGCCAGGCTGCACTGTAGCCAAGAGCAGTGCTGGGCTCATCTCCCGCTTCCATTTTGGGCCATATAAATCAAAAGGGCCTCGCTGGCCTGGTCAGTAGCAGGGTTACCACCTGGGGCAGCACTTTCCCACACTACGCTCCCTCTGTGCTTGAGACCTTGCAAAACTATTAGGACTGAGATTTTCTGTGATAGGTGTTTGCCTCAGCAGTCTTTTTAACTCTTTTTTTAGTAAGTTTAGCTGAAACAGTTGACCTTTTGTTGAGAATAAGAGGAGGGGATACAAGTTTCCCTGGTTATATTAAAATACAGCTTCAGCAAGCAGCTCTAGTGTCTACAAGCTGGGGTACAGAGGCTGCTGGTGGGGTCCAAGCATCCCCCAAGGAGCAGGGCCCAGGCTGTGTCTTCGGCCAGAGGCTCAAGCTGAAAATGGCAGTGATCCTGTTGGAAACAGAGTGGGCTGAGCAACCAAAGAGGCACAGAGATGCTGAGGAGGCAAAGCAGAGGCAAACAGAGACAGTGAGGGAGGCACGGCCAGCAGTAGGGGGTGAGGAGCACGGG